CCCCCCCCATTTCCTCCTGACCGTGGGCACTAATGGCGCTGCAGCCTCCCGGGCGGCTGCTCAGCAGCAGGAGGCAGACGAGCACCCGGAGACCCCCGGATCCCCCGGGACCCCCAGGCCGCCGCGGGCGCCGCATCCTTCGGGGCTCGGCGCGCTCGCTCCCCTGCCACAACCGCAGCAACGCTGGCCGGAGCCAGCCAGAGGGGCCGAGGCGGGGCCTGCCACTCCCCACCCACCTACGAGGCGGGGTCTAGACGCCCCTCTCGCGGCAACTCCGCCAACCCTGGGCGGGTGGTGACGACATCTCCACCCCCGGCTCTTACGCTTATTTGCGTCAGGCGTGGCGTAAGAGCTCTGCCTTAGAGGGGTGCCGACCCGCCCCACGTCTCCTCCGCCAAATAGTAGGTGCTTCACTAGAATTCTCACTTGGCCCCACCCCCTTTTGACCTTTGCTTTTCCCCAAGGACTACCACCTCTGTCACCCAGTCCCAGGGTTGGAGAAAAAGGTTAAGTTAGGTGGGGACCAGGAAATACATGTGAGTCGGTTAGTATAAATCCTAAAATGAGCATAAAAGTGAGTAGAATAGGTACTGTTACGCGTCTCAATTAATGGCACTGGTATCATCCTTAACAGCAGGAATGGTTATATGTGTGTGCCTGGATTCCAGTTCTAGCAATGCCACCTACTGCGAGTATAACTTTGGGCAAGTTGCTTAACCTCTCTGCGCCCAAGTTTCCTGACGTGTAAAAGAAGAGGTGCCAATAATTCCTACCTCGCAAGGTGGTTGTGAGGATTACACGAGTTAACGCATGTGGGTCACTTAGAACAAGGACTGCACTGGCATATACTAAACACATGATGCATATTCTCTTTTGTTGTTAGCCTTGACTCCCCTTTCTTTCTCCTTTCTTCCTTTCTTTCTTTCTCTACCTGCAAAATATATCTCCCATCTACTCCTTTCCTCCATACTCACTACTTTATCTAAGTCACGGTGCTTTTTCATCACCAATATTATTGTAATTATCTAACTAGTCTCTTGTTTTCACTCTTCTCGCCCAATAAGGTAGGGAGTGAGCTTTCTAAAGTTCAGATTTGATCACTTTATTCTCTTACTTTTCAGGGAAAATTTTCCAAAATACAAGAAAAGATAGTGGTGCATAGTAAATACTCAATATACACATCATCTAGACTTAACAGTGACTGCTGTTTTGCCAGATGTGTTTCTTTTTAGTATTTAAGAGTCAATGGTAGACATCATATTTCCCTTATAAATATCTCATTATGTATCTCCAGGAAATAAGGGTATTTCCCACATAAACCAAATGCCTTTATGACATCTAACAGAATTTACAGTAATTCTCTAATATCATTTAATGCTCAATTTATATTCAAAAATTCAAATTGTTTCCAAAAAATGCCTTTTTCCATCTGTTTTGTTCAAAATAGGAGTCAAAGACCACCATTGCATTTGGTTTGTCTCTTAATTCTCTTTAAATTAACACAGACACGCCCCTCCCCCATTTTTGACTTTGTCTTGTTGGATAGACCTGGTTAGTTTTTATTTATAACTCCCTGCCTTCTGTATTTGTCTGATTGTTTCCTCATGATAGATCTCCCTGTATTTGCCCTGTATCTATCCTGTGTATCCCCTGCATTTACTGTAAACTAGAAGTTATATCTAATGTCTTGATTGGATCAGGTTAATTTTTTAAACATTTTTAACTTATTTTGAGAGAGAGGGTGGGAGCAAGAAAGGGGCAGAGAGAGAGGGAGAGAGAGAATCCCAAGTAGGCTCTGTGCTGTCAGCATGGAGCCCAATGCAGGGGCTGGAGATCAGGAACCATGAGATCATGATCTGAGCCAAAACCAAGACTCTATCACTTAACCAACTGGGCCACCTGGGCGCCCCTACCCTGAAATACAATTCCAACTGGAAATACAATTCCAGCTGGAAATGTAGCATACATTCTTGTTTTTTTTGGTTTACCAATTTGGAGCATAATGAATTTTGGGTGTAGTAGCTACCTTTGACAGTGACAAATAAATTTTTAAGAAACATCCTAATGACTTTTCTTGTTTGGGCATTACTATGGGAAGTATGGGTTTTCATACAGTCAATGAGCATCAATCAATTGCAGTAATCATTCTTTTTTTTTATATTCAAATTGACCCAGAATAAGTAAATGAAAGCTCCTTTAAACTGGTTTGGTGTCTTTTTGAAACATCCCACTAATAACTGAAAGTTCTCTTACTTTCTATCATTCCAAGATGTACCAAGTTCATGTTTTTTATTCCCTGCCCTAGACGTGAAAGCAGCCATTTTTCCAAATACTTGGTAGCTTTTAATAAGGACCGATTTTAGAGACCACAATCTGGCTGGGTATTTTTTAATGTTTTTATTTATTTATTTATTTATTTAGAGAGCAGGAGAGGGGCAAAGAGAGAGAAGGAGAGAGAGAATCTCAACCAAGCTCCATGCTGGGCATGGATTCCGGGCTCAATATCATGACCGAGAGATCATGATCTGGAGCCGAAATCAAGAGTTAGACGCATAACCGACTGAGCCACACAGGGTGGCTGGAGCCTGGGAGCCACTCAGGCTCCCCCACGATCTGGGTTTCCAGGGTGATAATGGAGGAGTGCCTGGGTGGCTCAGTCCGTTAAGAGTCCAACTTCAGCTCAGGTCATGATCTCATGGTTTGTGCTGATAGCTCAGAGCTTGGAGCCTGCTTGGATTTTGTGTCTCTATCTCTCTCTCTCTGCCCCTCCCCTGCTTGCACTCTGTCTGTCTCTCTCTCTCTCAAAAATAAACATTGAAAAAAAGGGTGATAATGGAAACTGAAGTGATATTGCTTTTAGGCCCTTTCAGTGCACAGAGCTAGAATATTAAGATACATGCACACACAAACCCACACTCACACATACTGATATTTCCAATTTAAAAAGTTTTTTATTTGAGAGAGAAAGAGAGAGAGAGAGAGAGAGAGAGAGAGAGAGAGAGAAGAGAGAGAGAATCTCAAGGAGGCTCCACACTAATCAAGGAGCCTGATGTAGGGCTTCATCTAACGACCCTGGGATCATGACCTAAGCCAAAATCCAGAGTCAGGTGCACAACTGACTGAGCCACCCAGGCACCCCAACCAATTAAAATTTAACTGTGATTTTTATTGCACTCTTGATTTTGTACTGGTATCTCTTTATTCTCACACTGAAAACTTTGGTTTCTTATGGCATTAATATAATCACTTATATGTGTAATCCTACAATATACGTACAATAATTTACAAATAATAATATAAACATTACTCAACTAATAAAACTATAAGGGCATCTAAGGTGTGTGGTAGTTTATTTTGTCCTTGGATTATAATCCCTCAGGGTATACCATCAAAATGCTGCTTCCTAAAGTCACTTGAAATAGTTCTTTGTGTAGTCATTTTTACCAATTTGATATACAATTTGGTTTGTTTCAGTTTGTTTTCAATTTTAGGGTTTTTTTTTTTACTTTATATATAATTTTATTTTTTGAATATGTAAAATATTTACATTTTTCAACAATCAAAACTATATAATAAAATGTACTCAGGGAATTCTCCTCACCTTCCACAATTCCTTCTGCCATCTTTATCACTTCACTCATTTATTTCCTTTTAAAAAACTTTGTAAATTGTGAAATAAAACAAACAGAAAAATACATAAAGCCAAAATGAGCAACTTAACAAATTATCACAAAATGAACACCCATGTAACCCAAGTCAAGAAAGAGAACATTTCTAGCACCCTAAAAACCTTGTGTTTCCCAGTCATTACTCTTCCAAAGGTAGCCATTATTCATCCTCTTTTTGACCATGTTTCTTTGCTTTTATTTACAATTTTAACCTAAGAATGCATGGTTGGGTCATGAAAGTATAAAGAAAAGTAAATATACATAGATTTTGGATTATCCCCAGTCTTGGGTTATCATGAATAGTGTGACTGTGTATATACCATTGTACATGTTTCCTGTTGCACGTATGTGCCAGGGGGAATGGACAGCCTGTAACAACCTCACAGGGAGGAAGCTGGGGAAAAAGAACTTTTATTCTCATTCTCCTCATTCCCTCCCTCTGATCTCTCCTAGTATTCCCATTGTCCTAACCTAACCAGAATCCAGGGGAAAAGGGAGCTCATTGAAATAGTACATACAGGTTAGCCTCCTGAGACAGAAAATAAGGTGAAGGTAGAGAGTATATCCTAGCAGCAAACTTTAGGTATCAGCTCACTTGATCCCCTTTTCTCTCTCTCCCTCCCCCTCTCTCTTCTTGAGAAATCATCTGAAGTATAATTGTTACTCTTTTAGAGGTAACCCATCTTTGATTGTCAACAGTTTTAATACGTTGTGATTTGAGAGACATTTCTTTCCATTTATTCACCCTGAGATTCAGTTTCTTGACTACATGGCTTGATATCTTTCATCAATTTTGAGGCATTCTCAGACATTATCATCTTAAAAAATTTTTTTAATGTTTTTATTTATTTTTGAGACAGAGACAGACATAGCATGAGCAGGGGAGGGGCAGAGAGAGGGGGAGACACAGAATCCGAAGCAGGCTCCAGGCTCCGAGCTGTCAGCACAGAGCCTGATGCGGGGCTCGAACTCATGGACTGTGAGATCATGACCTGAGCTGAAGTCGGACACTCAACCAACTGAGCCACCCAGGCACCCTGACATTGTCATCTTAAATATTGATTCTACCCCATTTCCTTGTTCCCTTCCTTCTGGAACTCCAAGTCAATGTATGTTAGACTGTCATGTAGTATCTTTTATGGTTCTACCATATCTTTTGTATCTTCCATTCTTTTGTCTATACTTCATTCTGGATATTTTCTTTTGAACTACAGTCCAGTTTATTAATTTTCTCTTCACGTGTGTACAGTCTAATGCTTTGATCTTGTCCAGAAACTATGGTACACTCAGTCAAAGTAAATCTGAAGAGTTTAATGAAAGAACTGCCTATAAAGGTATGGACAGGTAAAGAAATGTAGACCTTTGTCAACTCACAGCCAGACAGTGATTGGAGTCAATCACTGTGGCTAATATAGTGATACCCATATCTGTCTATTGGTTCAGTGGCATGAGGAACCCAAAGTGACTG